AAAAAAAAAAAAAAAAAAAAAAAAAAAAAAAAAAAAAAAAGTTTCAAAGCCAGGCCAGGCCTTGGTGGCTCAAGCATTTAATCCCAGCACTTGAGAGACAGGCAGGCGGATCTCTGTAAATTCGAGGCCAGCCTGATCTACAGAGCGGGTTCCAGGACAGCCTCCAAAGCAAAACAGAGAAACCCTGTCTCGAAAAATAAAAACAAAACCACAAAGCCATAGCCAGTTTATCTTGGACTACTTTTAGTTTCGTTTTGTTGTTTTTAAGCCAGTCATCTCTGACCAGTGTCTAAACTCGCATACTGTCCTGCAAAGCCTTTAAAAATGCATCCTTAGCCGACTACTAGCTTCCACCGATCCCAGATGGTGTCTGAAACTTATAACCCAGTTTTGTCCACTTTACTGTGGCCCTTCAACCTGTGGTCGCCACCCAGTATTTGGTGAGTGCCTTGATTTATGGCTTTCTTTGTTCTATAATTAATGAACGCTCATGTACTTACTTCCCTCCTAGGACATGTTGTTCTGAGCAAGCTCAATCTGTGCTTCCCCACCACAGTGATTCCTACAGCTCAGAATAAGCTATTTCTTATTCCTTTTGAGTAAGAGCTGGGTTTTTTGTTTGTTTGGTTGGTTTGGTTTGCATGGACTTTTTAACACAGTGTACCCACAGAGTAATTATCCTAGAAGCAGCAAAAACTATATATACAGTTACTTTTTTTTTTCCCCGAGACAGGGTTTCTCTGTGTAATCCTGCTGTCCTGGGACTAAGTCTGCCCAGCCTGGTCTCAGATTCACAGAGATCTGCCTGTCTCTGCCTCCCAAGTACTGGGATCAAAGGCATTCGATGCCACTACCACCCAGCCATTTACTATTTTTTTTAAGATTTATTTTATTTAACATTCACAAGCATTTTGCCTGCATATATGTATACCCACCCTATGTGTGCCTGATGCCACAGAAGTCAAGAGAGAGATCTGGACCCTTTGGATCTGATGGGTGTGTACCACCCTGAGGGGCTGGGAAGTGAACCCAGGTCCCCTGCAAGAGCAAAAAGTGCTCTTAACTACTGAACATATTTAGAGCCCCACATTACTACTTTAATTTTTTTTTTATTTTATTGAGCCTGGCGATGGAGGTACATGCCTTTAATCCCAGCAGAGGCAGGCAGATCTCTGAGTTTGAGGTCAGCCTGGTTTATGGAGCAAGTTCTAGGACAGGCCCCAAAGCTACATAGAAACTCTGTCTTGAAAAACAAAGCAAAAACTTATTTTATGTGTGTAGGTATTTTGTGTGTATATGTCTGTGCACCACGTGTCTGCCTGGTGCCCACTGGGATCAGAGGAGGATATCAGATCCCTGGAGCCATCACGTTCATGCTGTGAATAGAATCTACAGGTCCTCTGGAAGAGCAGCCTTAACGGTTGAGCCACCTTTCCAGCCCCCACATTTATGATTTACCAGTATTCTAACTTTATGGAGAAGAATCTTGTCTAAAGTACACAAAAAATGGAATATATACAACTTTCAACTCAAAAAGTCTTTGCTTGTTTCTTCAAAACAATGGAGAAGGAACTTGAAAGATGAATAACTTTTTTGTGTGTTTGTTTTTTGAGACAGGGTTTCTCCGTGTAGCCCAGGCTGTCCTGGAACTCTCTCTAGACCAGGCTGGCCTCGAGCTCAGATCGGCCTTTGGCTTTGTACCCCCAGCTTCCTACAAACAAGTGATGAAGGAAGATGGAAGGGGCGGTTGTAACTCAGAGTCCTCCTCTACCCTATAGTGAGTTTGAGGCCTGCGAGGCCTGGGCTAAGTGAGTCAAAAAACAGCAAACATCCAACCAAACAAGACTGGCTGAACGAAAGACTTACTTCTAGGCCTAAGGAAACCTACTGACAATGCAGGGGAGGTGTCCCACAGGGGCAAACAGCCTCATCTTCCTCCGCCGAAACAATTTCGTCCCGTGCTCTCCAAATCAGTACACCGGGCCAGCCTCCACAACTCTTCTGCCCCCCCTCCGCGCGCCCCCCGCCCCCCCCCCCTGCCATAGAACTACATTTCCCATAATCCCAAGCGTCCAAACCCTGCCCTCGAAAGCGGTGGAGGCGGAGCCTGTCGCCCCCGGGTACAACTGGCGTCCGGAGGTACATGTCCCCTGTCCCCTGGGGTATGGGTCTGTCAGAGAGAGACGGTGTCCATGGTGAGGGAGGCTGCCCGTAGCGGTGAGGTGTGATGAAGGGCTTCCCATTGCTGGGAAGTCTGGGAAGGTGAGTAGGGGGGCAGCGGGACCGACACTGTCCTGAGGCACCCCTCCCCACGGTGAGCGTCACAACCAGCATTCCTGACAACTCTAAATCCACTGACCCCTATATTATGACATCTACAACACGCCTGACAATCAGACGTCCTGTCCCGGAGTTCACACCCAGTAATCCTCTAACGCGTCACTGCCTTTTGTCGTGAGTTTTTAACACAGACAGCAGGGGCTCGCTCACTTTTCATTCCCCCCTCTCCCCCAGCACTTAGCAAACAGGGAGGTGCGGAGCTTAAAGTCGGTTGTACACTGGGTAACTGTCTCTGATGCTCCCTGTTGGACGTGCAACAAGTATTCGTGACGACCATGGTACACTATCTGCCAAAAAAAATAAAAATAAAAAATGGTGCTTGGCACATTTGCTGAGGATATAATTAAACCAAGTGTGGGACATGGTGGCGCACGCCTTTAATCCCAGCACTAGGGAGGCAGAGGCAGGAGGACCTCTGTGAGTTTGAGGCCAGCCTGGTCTACATAGTGAGTTCCAGGACAGCCAGGGCTACACAGAGAAACCCTGCCTCAAAACAAACAAATAAAAACCAGTCTAGCCAAGTCCTTACTGTGCCCAGCCCTAATCATTTGTCACACCTTGTAGTGTTATGGACTTGCTTTCTTATAAAATGAGAAAGTTGGATTAGGTGAATTCTAAGAACTTTCTAGGTCTAAAATTCTGTGCTTGGTGAGTAGAAGAATTCAGATTGTGTCACAGCTAAACACCAATGTCCACTTTCTAGCTAAAATCAGTAAAATGTATAAATTTAACTACACAAATACATTTGGCCTAGCAACATCAGTGCAAAGAGCTGACTGTTCTTTTTCTTTTTTTATATGCCTGTGGGTTCGTTGCCTACATGTGTGTCTAAGCACCACGTACATCCGGCCTGAGTATGCCGGAAGGTGTCAGACCCCCTTAAACTGGAGTTAGGGACATTTGCTAGCTGCTGTGTGTGTGTGTGTGTGTGTGTGTGTGTGTGTGTGTGTGTGTGTTGGGAACCAAACCTCAGTCCACTCTCTTCCCTCCAAGAACTGATACCTACTAAGTACACCTGAATTTACTTCTTAATTGAAAACCAGAAAGTGACTGATGATACGAGTGTACTGTTGTTTGCTGTTTTGCAGACCATTGTTGGGAAGAATACCAGACACATTGATGAACATGATGTGCACGAAGATGGCGCAGACCTTAAGACCACGTCTAATAAGCGCTTCATTGACTCCTCGTGGGGTAACATTGCTTTCAGGTCCTGGATCTAGGATGATCTCAACCCATAAGCCCAAGAAGAAGATCAAAGAGTATTATAGTCTGCTGAATCTACGTGAAGGATGCTCTGTAGATGACGTCAGAGAGTCTTTTCATAAGCTCGCCAAGGTGTATCATCCAGACAGCGGCTCCAACGATGCCAATTCAGCAACATTTATAAAGATCGAAGAAGCTTATAGGAATGTGCTTTCCCATGTGATAAAACAAACACAGGCCAGACAGAAAGCTGAAGACACAGAAGAAGAAGACAAATTCAAATACAACACGCCTCAGCACCGGCATTATTTGAGCTTTGAAGGCGTGGGCTTTGGGACACCGAGTCAACGAGAGAAACAGTACAGACAGTTTAGGGCAGACCGTGCAACAGAGCAGGTGATGGAATATCAAAGACAGAAACTTGAGAGGGAGCTCTTTGCTAACAGCATAACTGTCAAAGACGTAAGGCAGAGCAAAGAACTAAAGATAACTCAAGCCATGGAGCGCCTGGTAGAGGACCTCATTCAGGAGTCAATGGCAAAGGGAGACTTTGACAATCTCAGCGGGAAAGGAAAGCCTCTGAAGAAGTTTTCTGGCTGTTCATATATTGATCCCATGACTCACAACCTAAACAGAATATTGATAGATAATGGGTATCAGCCAGAGTGGATTCTGATGCAGAAGGAAATCAAAGATACGATTGAGCAGCTTCGAGAAGCACTTCTAGTGTCTAGGAAGAAGCTTGGGAACCCCCTGACACCTGGGGGACAGAAACAGTGGAACCAAGTGTGTGAGAAGTTTCAAGAAAACATCCGAAAGCTAAACAAGCGAATTAGTGATTTCAACTTGATCGTCCCCATTCTAACCAGGCAGAAAGTCCATTTTGATGCCCAGAAAGAAGTGATCAGAGTCCAGAAAATGTATGAGGCCTTCATAGAAGCAAAAGAAATCACAGAAGAAAACCCAACTGACATTAGCAAGGAAGAAGAAAAAACACCCAGAGTCAAGACAGGCTTTCTAAACTGGTTGAATCTGTGGAAATTTATTAAAATTTGAATATTTTGACATTCACGATTTACTGCTCTAGTCAGTTTTAAATTGCCCTGACACCAGATATAGAACCTGAGATTGATTGATTGTGCCCCAGGGACTGGAGAATTGTGTGCCTTTGTAGATTTCATACTAATCACACCCCTGGTGATAGATAAGAAACCAAGTGGAGAGAAAAGCGAGTCAGTATTGCTATGAGGATGGAGCAAGAAAAAGATCCTCCCTCTGGAAGGAGGGAGTTAATTAAGGAAAGTTAATCCGTATCAGTTGTCAGGTGATGGAAAAGGCTGAGACTCAGATCCATGGCCCACACAGGGCATGAAGCCTCAGTGATCTTTAAAACTCTAGGAACTTAAAGGCAATCGCTGTTGACATTTCTAAACATAGGTGTTTAAACAACAAAACCAAAAGATGTATTTCTGAAACACAAAACTGAAGAAGTTGTAATGAGATTTAACCACCTAAAGTCTCCAAGTGAAATCTAAAAAGAAGGGGTCCTGGGGGTTAAGAGTACTTGCTCCTTGCTGCTATTACAGAGGGACCAGAGTTCAATTCCCAGCACCCATGTCAGGTGGCTCACAACTGCCTGAAACTTCAGCTGCAGGGATCCAGTGCCCTCTTCGGGCCTCTGTTGACACCTGCATGCACTCGAATACACACACATACACATAAATAATAAATTAAAAATCTCCACAGGTAGTTTTTTGCAGGTTTGCTACTGTATATTCTTGAGCTTATTGAAGTTCCAAACTATTGAGAGACTTCTGGACTTCCACCTGCTGATGGAAGAAAAATGAAGGTCAGGAAATAGCTTATCGGGGCTCTGGCACTTGGTTTGATTGTTTTTTGTTTTGTTTTGTTTTGCTTTGCTTTGTTTTTCCCAGACAGGGTTTCTCTGTGTAGCCCCGGATGTCCTGGAACTAGCTCTTGTAGACCAGGCTGGCCTCAAACTCACAGAGATCCACCTGCCTCTGCCTCTGCCTCCCAAGCACTGGGATTAAAGACTTGCATCACCATGCCTGGCGACTCTTGCACTTATAAAGGCCTTCCCTGTGGGCACTGGGCAAAGAAAACGCCAAGCAAGTACATGGGCTAACTTAAGATCCATTGTCTACAGAAGTTAATCAGTTAATCTTGTTGATCTAAAAAGTTCTAAAAAATAGGTTTCAGTGCTAAAGAGTTTGAATTTGTTTTTATAACTTTTAGAGGGGGCATAAATCCTTAAGTTCAATGCAAGGGTAAGAGTTCACATCCAGTTTGTTGTCACAAGTTAAAAGGTTAGGTTTCCAGAAACTTTCCTTAAGCACCCCAGTGTCCTGAACCAGACTCCCCAGAGACTTTCAGCAATGTAGGAACCCCCTAATTATTGTGTCAGGGACCCAACTCCCCGTCTTGGGGACCCTTCGATAACAAGGTATCTGAAGTTTGTTCCTTGGCATCTTTGGCAAGTGACAAGAGACAGAAGGTGAGGAGATTGTTGTTCTTGTCTCCTTTCAGGAAATGTGGGGCTCTCAGGCTTGGCTAATGGCTTTGAGTGCAGAATTGGTTACCCAAGAGGGAACTGAGGTGGGTGGAGTCAGCCCATCCACAGAGAGTGGTGTAGACAGGAGTCTCCGAGTAATAACTCCTGATGCTGACTTGGGGCCAACAAATTTGGGGTCATTCTGGAAAGTTTGTGATGACTAAAACAAAGAAACCTACACCCTCAGAAGGCCTTTCTGCCTCAAAGATTGACCACTAGTTGGCACAATCAGTGATTTTTTTTTCTTTAGTTAGAGTTATTTGGCTTCTAAGGTGACATTACCATATATATTACTATACATGAAACTGTCAACAACATGAAACATGGCTTTGTGATAAGAGCTATGGTTCCAGAATATTTTAGAAGCCTGTTTTTTTTGTGACTCTTGTTAAAAAATGGGAATCTGGAGTAAACATGAATGAAATAATTTTCAGTGTTGTACATGAGAAGGTGAAGTTACCAGAAAACAATTAATTTTGGCATGATTCACTTCATTTGCAAATGTCTATATTAATAAAGTTGTGTTAATGACTATTCAGTAGTCCATTGTTCTATAACAATAGTAAATAATAACGTTTTTAACAACCTAAGTGGATTTTAAAATCTTTTTTGTTCTTGTGTTATTATTCTCTTTAATTTTTTTCTATTTCTATGTGTGTAGATGTTTTGCTTGCAGGTATGTATGTGTACTGTATGCATGCTTGGTGCCCTAGGGGGCTGGAAGTGGGCAGATGTCTTGGGCCTGGAGTTACAAACAATTGTGAGCCACCACATGAGTGCTGGGAATTGAACCCAAGTCTTCTGGAAGAGCATCAGGCACTCTTAACCACTGAGCCATCTCTCCTGCCCCCCCTTTCTTTTTTGTTGTTTGAAGCAGTTTCATGTAGCCCAGGCTGTCCTCAAACTCACTATGAGGCCAAGGGTGACTCTGATCCCCTGACCTTCCTGCTTCCACCTTCTTGGTATGGGAGGACAGGTGCCCGTCACTGCACCTGGCTTACGTAGTGTGACACTAGAACCCAGGGTCTCACGCATGCCGGGCAAGCACCCTCCCAGCTGAGCTACTCCCCCAGCTCCTTCAGATCTTTTTGGTGGATGACAGACATCTGACGGTGACATCAGTCTTCCCGTTAAGAAGGCAACTTCATTTATGTAGAAACAGCCTCATTTTTAGTGGCCCTTCTCAGGGCCGGGAAAGGGGTTTGCGAGTTTTTAAGTTTGCTGAAGTGGGGCTAATGCTGTTCTTGGAGATGAGGCTGAACCTTAGTTTTCATCTCGCCGTCGGCTCTTCAGCTTACTGACAATCCTTCTACCTCCATTGCTGCTGCTGTGGTCAAACGTCCTGCAAAAAGCAACGTGGGGAAGGATTCATTTCAGCTCACTATTCCCCGTTACAGCCTATTGTTGCAGGGGAAGCTGGGCACCGGAAACTTGCACAGCCAGTCACATCCACAGGCAGGAGCAGAGAGACGCTAATGCACGCGAGCTTCATGCTCAGACAGCTCTTGCTGTCATACATTTCAGGACCCAAACCTGGGAAATTGAGTGGGCCCCTTTTAGGTTTTTAGTTAAGTCTTCCCACATCAATCAAGGCCAGGAAGACAATCCCCAAGCCAACCCCAGGCACACCCAGGGCCAGTGTGGCCTAGGCACTCCTTCACTGACACTCTTCCCAAGTGATTCTGAGTTTACACCAAGCTGACAAAACGACCTATCACAATTTCAGAGCACACTAACAGACACACAGGAAGCTCTGCCTGCTTCTCAGCCCCATTCGAACTGCTTCTCTATACGACATTTTTCAAACTTTTTTTTAATTTTGATTTTTTTGAGACAGGGTTTGTCTGTGTTAACAGTCCTGGCTGTCCTTGAACTCACTCTGTAGACCAGGCTGGCCTCAAACTCACACAAATCCACCTGCCTCTGCCTCCTAGTGCTGGGATTAAAGGCATGCACCGACACTGTCAGGCATTTTTCGAACTCTTAAGACCAAGCAGGACTGGCCCAGCGATCTGAGGCTAGAGCCTCTGATCCATGTGCCTGACTCACAGCCTCAGGCAGAGGCTCATACCTCAGCCCTAAAGCTGAACCCCATGAGAACAGCCACTGACATTATCAAAGGAAGAGATAATACTTCCAGGGACAAGCAAATTCCCATTATTCAGGCATGAAGGCTTCAGAAATGTCCCAAAAGGTGGGAGAAACCCAGCGAGGGTACCCCAGGAGCTGGTATCAGAAAGTGCATCTGGAAATAATATGTCAGGCCAGGCCTTCAATCCCAGCTCTTGGGAGGCAAAGGCCGGTGGGTTGCTCTAACTCTGAGGCAAGTCTGATAGAGAGTTCCAGGTGAGGCACTATCTCAAATTAATGGGGGAAAAATATAAAGCTCAAGCTAAGAGGAGCCCATGCCTAGGACAGAGCATTCCAGGGCACCCTGGTTAACTAATCGTTTACCTGTTCTTAGAAATCTGCCTTTCCCTTTGGACCATGTTTTGGTCATTCGCTGTCTATTGAGGTCACAACATCTGCAATCCCTCTATCTGAATTCTCGGAGATCTATAATTGAAGGACCAAATGGACCCCTGGTCCTTAGCCCTGGGATACAGACTCTTTGGTGTCTATCTGTCATCACTGCCACCTGGGATACAGACTCTTTGGTGTCTATCTGTCATCACTGCCACCTGGGATACAGACTCTTTGGTGTCTATCTGTCATCACCGTCACCTGGGATACAGACTCTTTGGTGTCTATCTGTCATCACTGCCACCTGACTTTAGGCAGAGGACCATGGACCCCTCTACATCTGTGTCTAAAGACAAACACAAATGCTGTAACAGCCTGACAGCAACAGCGGACACTAGATTGGAACATCCAGTCCTTTTTACTGAGGGCTCAGACACGCGGAGAGGGAAAGCCGTCTTTAGAATGGGACGACCTCACCTGTTGCTTTTTCCACTTTGCCACCAATCTAGGTTCCCAGCCTGCTGGAGAGCGACGGAGCCCTGTCGTCCCACCGCAGAGGAACACCCTTTAGGGCCCTCACCGTGCCTTTGCTAGAGTAGGGCCTAGGGAGGATGGGATTTTCTTTGCCACCAATCACAGTTCCCAAGACCAAGATGCGGCTTCCTGTGGGAGGACCCCATCTTCACAGGCCATTGACACTAGCATTCCCCAGCACCCTTAAGAAACAACAGGTCAGACACATTCAACACACCTCAGTGAGCTTCTGGATGGTCTCAGAGAAACCCACAGCTGTGGGGAGGGCTCCTACCCACAGTACACAGGTAAAGAGGACGTCTGTGGCTGGTTCCCGCCTCCTGTTGCAGGTAAGCTTGGTTCTGCCCACTCTCTCACCCAGTCACAGTGTATTGATCCATCTGGTATTACTACAGTTAACTAACTGCCCAGAGAAGGCTAACTTTACTAATAAGAGAGAATTACATAGCTCACAGATTTGGAGTGCCCAGGGTACAGCACCGCCACCAGCTATGGCGTGAGTTTTCTTGGTTGCATTTCATCATGGTGGGAGTTTAGAGAGAACTGACTCCCGCAGGCTGTCCCCTGACCTCCAGAAGCATGCCAGGACACGCCTCCCCACCCTGCTGTACCCCAGTACATCTTCTAATTCCAATGGTTTAAATATACCGAGAAAACGAGGGTACAACCTAGGTTCTTTTGATGGATGCCATCGTCAAGAAACACTAATTCTGAATAAGACACGGAGGGCAATGTGTGGCTATTCGTGGTGCCACTTTGCCAGTGCAGGAAGTGGGTGGCTACCAGATAGAGTAACTGGCTGCCAGGTAAAGTTACTGGCATAAGAAACAAATCTACAGGTGGCAGTGGCCTTCGGGTTCATGGCTTCAAGAATGTGATGCTCACATGAGGCCTTTCACCGAGCCTGTTCTTCAAGATCCCTGAAGCAATGGGGACTGCCTTTCACAACTCAGAACCGTGACTGGGAGAGATGACATCATAAGGATATCACAGGGTCAGGGTAACACGATCTGTACACTACATTACAGCAGGCAAGCGAGGCACAAGAGCTCTGCAGGAATCTCTCTGTGCGTCGCAGTGTCTCAGTCCCCCCCGCCCCGTGTGTGTGTGTGTGTGTGTGTGTGTGTGTGTGTGTGTGTGTGTGTGTGTGTGTTGATCAGAAGTCAACCCTGGATGTTGTTCCTCAGGCATTATCCACTCTGTTCTTTGAGGCAGAATCTCTCACTGGCCTGGGGGCTCCCCGAGTAAGCTGGGCTGGGTGTCCAGCAAACCTTGGAGCAACCTTCTGTCCCTACCTTCCCAATGTTGGGATTACAAGTGGGAGCTACCACACCTGATGACCACACCTGACTTTTCATGTGAGTTCCAGGGCTTAGAGCCGGGTCCTCATGCTTGTCTGACAAGCGCCTCACCAGCTGAGCCATCTCCCCAGCTCCTCTGGCTGGAATCCTAGCTCTGGCATTTTGTAGGCATGTGCCTTGGAGGACAACAGAACTTCACTGTCCTACAGATTCATACAGGAGGGGTAATGAAGTGGTTTGTGGGGACTAAAGAGCTATGACTTGTAAATAATCCAATACACACACCAGACATGGTGGTGCACTCCTTCAATCCCAGCACTCTCCATGCAGAGGCAGGATGGATCTCTGTGAGCTCCTAAGCCAGACCTTGTCTAAAAATATAAAAGAGAAAAATTCAATGTTCCTCCATATAGATCATGTTGCTCTGTGTCTTTGGGAAACGACAGCCCTGAAGAGCCAATCTGATCTCCTTCTCATTCTTTTACTTTGGAAAAAGTGGCCCAAGAAGTTGTGACATGGGGCCAGAGAGATGCCTCTGTGGTTAAAAGTCCTTTGTGCTCTTGCAGAGGATCCAGGCTTGGCTCCCAGCACCTACAAGCATGGTAACTTATACCTGTCTGTTATATCCCCACTTCCAGGGGATCTGACGCCCTCTTCTGATTTCCATGGGCATTGCATACAGCTGAAACACATAGGTACGTGTGGGCAAAACACTCCTACATGTACAAAATTTCTTTTTAAAAAAAGTGTGATACTGTGGTTTTCTGAAACAAACTGTTCCTGAGTGTCAGTGAGCTGGCCGAGGGAGGAGGGCTGTGTGCTTGTGCCTTGGGATCCCAGGTTTACACATCTGAATATGTGGAAGACTGGAAGGATTCACACTTGAGGCAGCTGGGACCACGGCTGCTCAACAGCTAAAAAACAAAGGACAGCAGACACCTTGTGTCCTTGGCACAAGGTAAGCTGATAAATCAGGTTACTTCAGAAATGGACTTATAAGTTTACATATACCATCAGCATTGTAATTAGCACAAAGAACATAGAAGAACAAATGAGTTCCCTTTGTACTCCAGAGCGTCCCTATCCAAAGCTCCTGTGCCCACCTCCTGGATCCTATCACTCTGTATAGACTCCCCTGTGCCTGCGTGAGTTTCCATTTCTGCTACAAACAGTTTCTGTAACTTAAGCAGCTCCACACACAGTTGCTGCGTTACAGTCTGCAAGGCAGAGGCCCTGAGTGGGCTTTCTGGCCTAAGATCAGGATTTTAGGAAGGCCTTAAGGGAATAATCCA